ATTTAAATAAATTTTAACGAACTTAATTTCTATAACTTAACTAAAAAAATATATTGTAATATTAATGTATAATACGTAAGCACAACATTAAAAGTAAATTCAATTTACTTAATTTTACTATAATCAAATAATTTACTTTTATAAAACAATATTAGTTGTTTTTTTTTCGATATACAATAATGCTCCTAAAATATTAGGGCATTCACATGTCGCTGCGCCACGAAAATTTTTCCGCCGAAACATTAGTCGCTAGCCGGACATAACGGAGAGACTCAAAAGAAATAACGGACCTGCCGAAATTTGTCTCTGAGAGCGCCGAGTGCAGGCAGATTATAAGACAAAGAAAGAGAGGGAAGCTCCGAATATCTGCATCTCTTTGTTGCACGATCGTTTTCGTAGGCAGTCTTCTACACTGCGCCGACTTCTCTAATGACGTCAACAGCGGCACAGCGTTTAAGGCACACAAAAAAAAACAAAAAAGCTTTTTGCCTTGAGCCATGTCACCGCGTCCCTACTGCAGAACTGAAGGGTAACTTGACATCGTGGTTTTTCTAATAATTTCGTTTGCGTTATTTTTGTTTAGTTGCTGATATGTAAGACAATTTAATTTGTGTAATTATAAAGAAAATGGGTTAATTGATTTACGAAAAACCGCTGAAAATTTAATAAAATTGGTTATTCAAACTAGAAAAAATTGCCTTCAAAGATAGAAACAAGTTTCTTGATTTACGAATAAATTAGTTATTCGATTTAGTAAAAAATTGACCTTAAATATAGAAACAAATTTCTTGAAACACGAAAAAAGACCGTAATATATAGAAAAACAATCCATATTTTAAAAAAGAAATTCCCTAAAGATTAAAAAAGTAGTACTTGTTCTTTAAAAAAAAGCCTTTTTTTTCAGAACAGATTTTTTAATTCTAGAAACTTGTTCCAACTTTTAAGGTATTTTGCCGTGAATTTAAGAAAAGTTTGTAGTAATTTCCAGAAAAAGCTTACATAAATTCAAGAAAATTATTTACTTAAAATAAAGGCGAGTCGCCGTTGGATCAAAATCATAGGCGATTTTCTTGAATGAACGGCGAATTTCTTGAATTAAGGGTGATTTTTTTAAAGTGTTCTGCGCAGATCTTTGTAACTATTTTAAAGCTTAAATAACATATTCAAGACTGCCAATTCTCCAATTTCGAAAAAATATATTTGCTGGCCCTACCATGCTTTGAGGAATAATTTTGATCATCTGATCCCATTTTAAGAATGGCAAACTTTCTTCATTTATAAATTGCTCTGAAATAAATGTTTGTAAAGAACATGTCAATATATAAACTCGAATATACATATGTACATATGTATATATATACATATTTAAACATACACTTCTATGTAATAAGGGTATATATGTACTTACCGATGAAAATTGATTTAAGGGCTTCCCTGTCCCTGTCCATTTTTCACAATTTTTTTCACTATCAAACAACAAGTTTTTCACGAGCTGAACATCCGAAGGACAGAAACCACGAAAAGCATTGTCATTGCCTTAGTGTGACCGCACACAGTATAAAAATGTACCAATATTTTTTGCCCAAAACCAAGGGCGATTTCGCAATTATTTCAAGAAAAAAGGTTTAAAAATATTGAAGAAAAAAAGAAGAAGAAAAAAAGCTTATTCTCTTCTTCTTGTTTATTATAAAAAAAAATAAACGGTGAATTTTTCTTAGTTTAAGAAAATATTTCTAAAACCAAGAAAAATTTTCTTGTTTTAATGGCGTTGTAAAATCACGGACGATTTTCTAACATGTACGGTGAAATTTTTTTTGAGTGTAGGGGTGCCGATAAAAGATCCTAATTTAACGAGAACCCAGATGATGTCGGTGCCTATTCATCAAATTCTACCCTCAACTTAGTGGACGTGATCTCTTCTTTCAAAACGCAATGGTGCGTTAACAAATATTTATATAATTTTACCTCCGAGCTAGGCACTAGCGACAAGAGCTTGAGGTCTAGATACTCCTTTGTAAAGGGTTTATTATTTATTTGAGGATTCCTAATAAATTTCCGCTCGAGGTTTTCCAAACGCGGTAACGTTTTATAAGATGGCGAACCGAATATTCTCCAGATGGAAGACGAGTATAATTCCTCTAAAAATGCTCTTCGCACTGGAGCTCCTTTTTTGACATCTTTGCAATTGGCTCCGTGACTTGTTCTATTTTCCAAAACCGAGGCACGATCTGGTCTAATGAAGTGCCACCGGTCTCTTCCGATAAGCAATGAGTTGCGATGAGTGACGAATATTTTGCGGTCTGCTGCCCACCACTAGGCAAAATCCAACCTAGATTGGTTTTTGTAACAAGGACATTCCAGGAGTTAACTGAATCTAATCTGATCTGATAGGTTGTTGATCAGTTATTCTCGAGTTACGATGGCCTGAATGCTATTGGTAAAATGTGATATACGAGACTTTAAGATGATGTCAACTGATGCCAGTTATTGCGGTCAACGATTTGGTTTTTCTAAGTTGAAGTTGATTGGCGAAACGAGTTGTAATTAAATGAACTTGAGATCCTGAGCCCAATAGCGTGCGACAGGGTACGTACTTGCCTGCGCGATTCTTAATTAGGACAACGGCGGTGGCGAGAAGCACCGGCTCAACCGAATATTGAGATGAAAGGGGTTGACGGGAGACGGACAGTGAGACTGATGGCGAGGCAGATGACGAAACGGCCATAATGGAACTACGTTGTGAAATCATATGACTTGAACCTGGTACTTGATTTTCCGGTGGATTAGGCTCCTGAACTGATTTTCTATGATGGGGAAGCATGTGATTATTCGATTGACAGGAATGGCAAGGACTTGAAGAACAGTTTCGCGCATCATGCATATTGCATAATGACAATGCCTTCCTTGTGGAGACCCCTGCGCGATAACCTGTCAAAACGGGGACATTGAAATATCATATGATCTGCGCTACGACAACATACGCATGACACCGATTCAGCTATAGTTGCAAATGCCTTTCATTGATTTGTTCTCACGGCCCTTTCAGACTTGCAAGCTTGCCAAGGATTTCCTTGCATCCCATGCTCAAAATTCTCTATTGTGCGACATCTACTTTCCAAAAATGTGGAAAATTTCCTCCTTAGTGGCAAGAAAATCCATTGTCCGAAGATGTGAGTTTATGTGATCCGTGTAATCCCGCAACCTTGCAACCGAAGAGTCAACTCGTTCGAACATAAATATCTCTTTTGTATGAGCCTTTATAATCAGACGATTATTGTCAGATCGTTTCATTGAAATATCCAATGCAACTTGGTATTTAGCATCTCTAACGACACTACGTTCTCCAATGCTGAACCAGATAAACATGAGAGCAAATGCTGAAGCTTTGCGATTGAAGTCAGCTCTACTTCCTGATCAATGGGTGCTACAAAAAAAATGGCATCTCTTTCCATTTTGAAAAGAGGTTACCCGAGAGCACATGTGCCGCATACAGACATACGTAACAAAATGTGATAATCGAGCGCTTGCACATTTTAGTCTTGTAACCACTTAATTATTGTGAAAAATTTGACGCTAGGAACAGAGCAAACCTTTTTTCGAGGAAAATGTGATATTATGAAATAGCACTATCGATTAGACACCGATTTTTGCAAAGTTGGTCTTAATGTTTAAAGGACAAACTAATCTATTGAATCAAGTGCTCAAAATAATTTATACAATATTTCTTAAGGTAGAAAAACTAAAAAAAACAAGGAAGAACGCTATAGTCGAGTACCTCGACTATCAGATACCCGTTACTCAGCTAAAGGGACCAAAGGGAAATGGAGATATGCAAATCGAGATTTAAATACGCCACCTACCGGCGGTAAACAGATTTAAGCGTTATGGGCGTTAGAGTGGGCGTGGCAAAATTTTTTTTGGATCAATCGATAGGTATTGACGAGACCAATACATTTCAGTTAAAATTTTTTATCTAGCATGAAAACTGTGGCCGTCACAGGTTTGGGCGGTTTGTGGGCGTTAGAGTGGGCGTGGCAATTTTTTTTTCGGGTCACTCGATAGGTATTGATGAGAAGAATACACTTATGCTAAAATTTTTATTCTAGCATCAAAACTGTAGGAGCCACAGTTTTAAGCGGTTTGTGGGCGTTAGAGTGGGCGTGGCAGTCTACTGAAACAAACTTGCGCTGCGTAAGAAGCTCAGGAATCTGCACGCCAAATCTCAATAGCCTAGCTCTCATAGTTTCCGAGATCTCAGCGTTCATCCGGACAGACGGACATGGCTAGATCGACTCGGCTAGTGATCCTGATCAAGAATATATATACTTGATGGGGTCGGAAACGCTTCCTTCTGCCTGTTACATACTTTCCAACGAATCTAGTATACCCTTTTACTCTACGAGTAACGGGTATAAATAGCTATTGCAAGAAAGGATAGAAAATGTAAATTTTGGGAATTTCTTTGGTTAATAACTCCGTTAATCAAAGTCCGATCCCAAAAAGTGAAATGTTTTCGGAAAGATACATCTACTTACTTTTAGATTGCAACATCTGTCAAACGGTTAGAAAATTGGATTCTGTAATATAAGCTCTTTAATCAAGCAACATTGAAACAACATGATTTTCGCGAATATCTCAAGAACGATTCTTTGGGATTTTTTTGAGTGATACCAACGTGTACAGGAAATACATATTAATCCAGAAAAACTGGTTTAAAAGATGAACTTTTTTGGCTATAAACTAGTGAATTTAATTAAGAATTAATTAATTAATTATTAATTAATTAATTTAATTTTCGTTTCTTTTGTTTTTCTTGCTTTTTAGGGTGTTATAAGGTGAAATTTGAAATTCTTCTTCATTTCCATCTTATATACGAATTTCTGTATCATTTTCACTTTTGCAAGGAATTACTCGACAACCTGTATCTATTTACATACTTCTATAATATTCAAATTATATAAAATATAAAACCAATATTTATAATTCTTATGTTTTTATAGAACAACTGGACCGCATTGAAGAAGGAATGGATCAAATTAATGCTGATATGAGAGAAGCAGAAAAAAATTTAAGTGGAATGGAAAAATGTTGCGGCATTTGTGTCCTTCCATGCAATAAGTTTGTATATTACTATTTAAACATAATGTTTATAATTTTTTATGTTAAAGGTCTATAACTAAATAGGAAAACAGCGAACAAAGGCGAATCTAAAGTACTTTCGGTCTCCCTTTAATAATCTTAATATAAATATATACTTACAAAAAGGGTCTAATGCGATTCTAAACACATAAAGAGAAATATTCTGAAAAGAATATTGAAAAACATCTTTGCTTCAAGTACCTTTTGTAAATTAAAAATTTTTGAGGTCCATTTTTCAGCAGTTATTCCCATTTGGATTATTTTTGCCATTTTAACTCTTACTATATCAGCTGTTTCACCGACATTTTAAAGCTTGTGTATTATTCCGTTGGTAGTAATTTAGTCTTGGACCTTGTGTATACTATTTATACCCCTTACTCGTAGAGTAAATGGGTATACTTAATACTTACTTAATACTTATACCCCTTACTCTTAGAGTAAAACGGTACTCTTAATTCTTTGGAAAGTGTGTAACAGGAAGAAGGAAGCGTTTCCGACCCCGTAAAGTATATAAATTCTTGACCAGGATCAGTAGCCGAGTTGATCTAGCTATGTCCGTCTGTCTATCCGTCCATATGAACGCTGTGATCTCGGAAAATGTAAGAGCAAGAATGTTGGGATTAGGCATGCAGGGTCTTGGGTCTCCTGAGCGGCACAAGTTTGTTTGAGCAGGGTGCCACGCGCACTTTTACGCCCACAAATGAATAGGGATTTCGTTCTTATTATCAATATGAAAAAATATTCAAATCGGACCATTGATTAAAAAGTTATGACCAAACAACCATAAATACCTAGCTAATTCAGTAGTAAAGCCTTTTTATTCTTTATGTTTTTTCTTTTTTTAATACCCATTGCTCCTAGAGTAAAAGGGTATCCTAGATTCGTCGGAACTTTTGTAACAGGTAGAAGGAAGCGTTTCCAACCCTATAAAGGTTTTATATTATCCGAGATCACACCGTTTATGAGCTTGGTCGAAGCCCTCAACTTAACAGAACCATACAAAAATCCTGATGCGAATTTAGTTAGCTTTGGTTAAAGTCTTTCGCCCTGAACTACACTCCACCGCCATCATAAAAATGTTTTTCACCAAAATTCAGAGCTGGTTTGAGCTGCAAGGGGTCGGTGCCGAAGAACAAGAGAAATACACACCAGTAGTCGTTTCGCTGTTCCCAAATATTTGTATCAAGCTTACGATCTTGTACGCAACCCACCACAGACTAATCCACCACAGACGTGGTGTTGTATCCAAAAAGTGACCTAGCGTTAGCACATCGATGTCATCTGGGTGCTCTATAATTGGAAGTAATGGGCATAAGTTAATGATTGCAGTAATGTGGCAAACAATGATCGAACCTAAGGACAACGCTTGTAGCAGAGCGGTAGAAACGATGCTTTGGCTTTTTGACTGTGCTTTATAAAGTGAGAAGAGCGTGGTGGAATGAATCGCCAATCGATTCGATCCTCTACACAAAAGTTCTTGCCCGCCTTCTTATGCTTGTCGCTTGTTGTTTCAGCTCCGACAAGCTCTAAATGCACAGCTTTCGCTGCAAATCAAATAAATACGCATATATATCATTTATCGGTTGCCAAGCTCAATATTCGCGCTGAAGTCAAGGTTCGAGTTACAAATGGATCAAGCGATCCAAAGATATAGAAGAAAATGATATAGAGCTGGACAAAAGTATACGCCCACTGTCACTTACTGACTTGTAGTCAAACCACAACTGCACTTGTTGAATCGATCGTATGAACCTCTGGGTACCTCCAGTACTATCCACTCCTGCTAGTGCACAAGACTTGATCCTTTATCAAAATTTGAAGAATTTGTGGAAGAATTAGTGAATTTAGGACCTTCGACTAGGTCCAAGAACGAGCAAAGGGCAAGATTAACTCTTTTGCGAAGGTCTATCAGTGGGGCTTTTGATAAGAATTCAGAATTCAAAAAAAGGTCTTGTTCATGGAATCACAATTCCGACTGCAACAGCTCCGAAGTTAAGAACTCACTTCTTTGGGATGTACTTCCACTCCATTTGTGCGGTTAGCTTCTGTATGCTTGATGCGCTGTTCGGTACGATGACGTTGAACTGAGCTGGATCATTCCGAATCCATGACAAAACAGTTATTGGGTCAGACTTACAGAAGAACCTTGCAGCAAACAATTCCATTTCAGAGATTTCGCTTTTAAGTTGAGCAAGCCATTCAGCTCTGCAATTTCGTGATCGTCATTGTCGTCTTTAATGGAGCAACACGTGATCTGGAGCACAATAGAGCACTTCTTCCACAGATCAACCCCCAGTCATTAAATCGTTGACGTAACAGAGTCAAGCCTGTAGACTTGCAAGTCCTCCTGCCGCGAGTCTCTTCAGAAGATGCATTGTAAATAGCTATCCGCTTCAGTAAGGATCGAAAACGCAGTAGAGTGTGCATGAGCTTTGCTTGAACAGTAGGTCCTTTCATGAGAATAACGTTGAGTTAAAATCCAGATGATGTTGATGCTGAGCCGTCGAGCACGACTCAAAGCTTTGTTGTGGTGCTGTCCTCCATATGGACAGAATGCTGCGACAAAAGGAATTGTCCTCTATGACATGTGAGCCCAAAATTAGAAATCGCTCAAAAGCTTGCAAATACGACTCGCCTAAAAATTAAAGTTTCGCTAGAGCGATAGCTTAACTGAAAATTCTCCCGATGCTTAGTGCAAAACATAATTTTTAAAATGCTATTCACGATCGATATCTTCCTGCTTGACCTTCTCTGTCATCCAACAACAACATTCTATCTCCCAGAAACGTTTCAGCAACAGATCTGTTTTTGTTTCGTTCTCTTCTTGCAATGACGATTCAGTTGCAAACAATGTCGTTTTGCTACATTGTTGGTCACCGCCAGATACCACCCAGCTAAAACTCGTTTTTTGAAGCATAGGCAATCCTTGCGCCAACTTGATTTGGCCAATGGAAAACCGGTCAAAGAACAAGCTATCACCTATAAGGAGATCCATGTGTTGAGGCCTAAAGAATTTTGGATCCGCTACCGTAAGTTTATGGGATACCTTCCAGTCTGTGATACATACGGAGAAACTTGGTTGATGATAGATTGATGATTGATGATCTTTTCTTAAGCAATTGAGGAAAACATTTAGCCTCTTTGCCTCTATTGGGCGAAGCGAAGGAGATAGGATATGTTGCCAAAACCAGTACATGAATATATAGTATGGCCACTATTTCCACAAAATCCAAAAATGGAATTACAAGATTTAGTAGGTATGAGTGTACTTTTATAGATGTTATCAGCTTTGTTGCTCTCGCTCCCTGCTTTCTTGGCGCCTAGGTGGCCGCAGCGGCATATTTCATATTCTTCAAACGCTGGTAAAGGGCTTCCAGGAAAACTGTGAACTCCTTGGTGTTGGAATTTCTTCAATAGGCACATGTCCTTTCCATTTCGATTGCTTGTCGCTATCCATTTTTAAAGATGCCAGTAGACTTTCAAACATCCAGCCATTCGGTCGGAGATGCCCATCGCCTGCAGAGCGCGCAGATGAGCACTTACCTTCACCGAAAATTGCCGCAGCCGAGCTCTAGATGACGTTTCTACTCTCTCAAGCCCTATGATCAGCATCATGGTGTTTTGCTCGCCAGAAAAGGTTACCATATTTTTGCTTCAAAAACTGCACCATTGTTCAACGCCCTCAAAATGTAAATTATCTTGCGGAAAAACCGGACACAAAGTAAGCGAAAATGTTTTGGCTAGGTGTGAATGCAAGGTAACTGTATGTATGCTTGTGTGTTGAATACCGAATCTCGAGCGAACTAACGACATTGCACAGAACAAAAGAAATTAATATTTTAAGCTACTGTGTTTTTGTTACACGCGACGATGGAAATATAGGGATTTTCTTCTGATGCTTTTGTATGCTTTTTAAAACTTTCTTAAGGTCGGAAATATGTTCTTATAATAATGTTGAAAGCACCATAATAACGTCTATATATAAAAGGCAACACTTACCCGACAAGTCCCCGAAAAAGTTGTTCACAAAACTCTGATAAGTTGCGTCAGCGCTCCTCCTCCTCCTCCTGCTAAAAAGTCCGTTCTTGAAATATCTTCTTCCCTTACATGAATTTAATGGTATCTGCTCGCCAGATCTAAGGTTGAGAAGTGCCGTCCTCTTTCCAGGCCATCTGATACGTCATTTCTTATTGGCAGGCGATATCTGTCCTTCATTACTTTTTTTTCTTTCGCCCGAGGTATCCCATTTCCTAGGTAACATCCAAGCCGAAGCATGGTGATATTATTATTAATATTATTAGACTCTGAGATCTGGGGACACATGCAATATAAAGATGTAGAAGATACTTTTAAAAGAAATTGTTTCTTAAGGTATGTCAGAAAAATATAACCGCTGATCAGACTGATCAGGGCAATAGCACAAGAAATACAAGTAGGGGAATCACAATTGAGAATGAGAATGGAATCAGCCTTTCCAGGAAAACGACATCGATTTCAATGGAAGAAAATATGCCGCTTACTAAACAGCGCAGGATGCTCTATTGGTGGAACTTGAAGCCAAATTCGGAACGGAGTGTATAAAAGAAGTATATATCACTCCGAAGGAGTGAGAGCAGGATGCCCTACACCAAACTGGCGTCCGATTTGGGAAGCGCGAGTTAATGAAGAAGTTCACTCGACTAGCACAATGAGCCTTCTTTTTTATGAGAGATCAGAAATGCTTTCTTTTGGTTACCAACCCCAGGTAAAAGATAACCAATGCCCACTCTGTAGTATGAGAGTAACGAAGGATACAGCTCACATTATTTCCATCTGCCCAATCCTGGAAATAAGCGAGGGAACTAGCTTCGTTATTAAGCGCTGCTTTAAAATAAAGAACACAAATAGTGAGAGAACGCTTTTAAAATATTACTAATCAAGAAATTTGTGAATTTCCCGTTTCCTCGGGTAGACACTATTGGACTAAGCTGCAAGGCTTG